ATATTAAATGTTCTCACTACACACACACACACACACACACACACACACACACACAAATGGTAACTCAGACAACTGGACCTCAGAGTAATTAAACAGTTGCTATGGGAAGTTGCACTCTAGAGAAGTATTCCAGCTCATAAAGGAAAAGTAAAATGACACAATTAGAATATCATTATTTTACAAACACTGATGAAATAAAGAATATAGGCAATGATCACTGATGGCTGCTAAGATCACAGTCATCAGTGAAAACAACTAAAAAAGCAAAACGACTAACATACAAAACCCCTGACGGAAGTACACCACACCACCTATGAAATATTTCTGCAAAAAAATCTGGTAAGAGCTTTTATGATCTTAATTACTAATTTATAGGAAATACAGAGAACACAGAAAAAAGTAAACATATTAAGCAATGGGGACACAAACAGCAAAATTCAAAATGCAAGAAACTACCTGATTTCTTTAACAAATACATTGCAAGAAAAAAAAAGAAAACACCTATGGATTCAACCAGACATAAGAGCCACCTCAATCAATCACAATACATAGGCCTTGACAAATCAGTTGTATAATATTTTATGAGACAGTCAGTGAAATTTGAACACTGTGTGTTTCATGATTATTAATAAAATTCTGTTATAATGACATGTGAGGAAAAACTGGTAAGTATGTGAGGTGACAGATATGATAATTAACTTGATTGTGATAATCATTTAACAGTGTGTGTGTGTGTATATATATATATATATATATATATCAAAACATCATGTTGTACACTATTAAATATATAAAATTTTCATTTGTCAATTATATCTCAATGAAGCCTGAGGGGAAAAGAAGAAAATAGTAGGAGGTCTTCTTACAGCAAAAAGAAAAGAGTGAACTTCTCAAGTGTTTATCAGCCACATTTTACAGCAAAAGGAAATCAGTGAGCTTCTCAAGTGTTTATCACCCACAGAAATGTCTGATGTTGCTATAGGTCAGTAGTGTCAAGGAATACAGTTAAATGACTTAGAAATAAAACTACTGAAAATAAAAAAAAAATCATCCAGAATTAAGAATATGACTAAGGTTTGGAAAGTAGAGCATTTTTCTCCCAGGGAAAAAAACCTGCAGTCTTTATGGTCAATAAATGTAACCCTAAAGCATTTTGAGTTGAACTTATTTATATTAATATGCAATTCTTCTTTGTAGAATACTAATTTGTTACAGTGAAATTTCTATATACCTTTTCTCAAAAGCCAAGTTCAGCATAATATATGCCCAAATAATTAGATAGGACTTTAAGAGCTAAACACAGTTTAAATTCTGCCAGGACAATGGAGCCTACTAAGAAATTATCTAGATTGTGAAAAAAAATGTCTATATCAACAGCCTCTTTCTCATCTACTTATCCCTACCTTCTGCCAGGAGCAGACATAGGGAGCTCAATACTCTAACACTCACAAAAGAGGAGGAGAAGGAGGGAAAAATGGTATTTTATTAAATAAACAAACAAAAAACCTCTTAAACATATTATTTCCAAACCTTGCATTCAGATTTTGAAAATCTGAAATTTTATATTTATAAAGCTCTCAGAGAATTTGTCATTTAACACATTGCAGCAAATACATTGACAATTCACAGTAAAGTGAGCTGAAGAAATCTCAATTTCATTCATAATTATAGCAGCTTTCTTTTAACCTGTGGTATCTCTAAGGAAACATGATCAAAAGAGTATGACAGAAAGCAAGGAGAACAGGAGCTATTTATGAACTTAGCAAAAGAAAAGGCAGAAGGGTGATAAAAACACAGAAAGATCTTGAACCAAGATGTTAACAAAAATCAAGGAAAGTAAATGAGCTTTTTAAATGATATCCATTACCATTCTTTACGTTGAATATTGTTCTAGGCTTCAATTTCAACAAAATTCTAATACACTACAGCATTTTGATATTATATCATTTGTGAAAAATAAGGTTTTTACTTTTAGACTGAATGAGTACTTCCAAATTATATATAACCGTTAGTCTAAGATATTCACTGTTCTGAAAAGAGTTGAGCCAGTAGAATGTGTACTCATTTTTGATGACCTCCTTCTGGTATAAAATCTACAGAAAAGGGTGCTTAATTAGCAGTTATTCATCTCTGATTGTATCACCAACTGCTGCCAATCGGTTTTTTAACACATGGATATAAAGCATGAAGTAATTATTCCAAAGGGTCAGGCGTAGTGGCTTACACCTGTAATTCCAACACTTTGGGAAGCTGACGTGGGAGGATAACTTTAGGCCAGAGTTTGAGACCACTGTGGTTGATATGGCGAGGCCCCGTCTCTACAAAAAGATTTTTAAAAATTGTTCCAAAGATTGAAAGATGTAGATGTTTGTTTTTATGACATTTTATTTGGGAAGTTAGTAAGTAATCCATGCTTGATCTGACTATGATAAATTTTATAATAAACTAGTGGAACGGCCACAAGAGAGTCCATCTACAATAAATAGGAAACATCACCTAAAGACAGCAGCAGCAGTTACCGTTTGTTAAGAAGTTTCTATTTCCCAGGCATGTTACTGAATACTGTATAAGACATGCATTATCATATTTAAACCCCAGAACAATTCTAAATAAAGTATCACAATATTTAACAATTTAACATTAATGTCATAGATGAGAACAAAGTCTGACAGTTGGTCTACTACTAGAAAAACTATTTACTGTGCTACAATTCCTACAGTTAATAATATTGGTAATTATTTTTGCCTCTTTTTAAACACTAAAACATGATAATTCCTTTTAAGGCATTTGCGACTATTTCACCAGGTTATTTTTATATTCCCAAAGATGTGGAAGAGAAAATGAAGCAGAAAGATTAAAATAATACGTAATTACTAGGGCTAAAATTAAAGTTTTTCCTGTTTTCTTAAATATTATTCTAGTGATGTGAACACAAAAGACTCATAATATACTAGCGCAATATAAATTTGTTATTTACTTAGATTTTTATGAAAATATCACTGTGGGTCACATTATATTACAACAAATACAGCCATAAAGATATGCTAGCTTATAATATAGATGTCTCATCATTATATTTTCTTTTCACGAGATTCCTTAGAAAATGATTAACAGATGAGAAGTCAACAACCAATGGCATATGTGCAAATAACATACGAGTCATGCCATGTCAAGCCTCAGCCTACTGTTATGACCAGTTCCTGGAGAACATTTATTTTTATGACTCCTAATTCACCCTTATTCTTATCATAAACTCCAAGCTCACCTCCAGTCTTAAGCTTCCAGAAGCCATCCATGGCAGCATTATCATTTTTTTTTTTTTTGGACCTCCCTATTCCTGCCTTCTAGGCATACTAGTCTTTTGATACATTGATGCCATAAACTTTGTGAGTGCTCTACTCCCAAATACGGGAATAGAACTCCAGCCTGTTCTATTAGGAATAATTCTTTATATAGAGTTTGATCAAACTTTGGACTCTAAATTACATAATCTATTTGCATCAGCGTTTTGCTAGTGATAGATATGCCTGTGAGTACTATAATCTGAGTGCCCAGATTTGAATTTATTTTCCTAAATGACAAACATCATATTCACAATACTTAGTCTATAGTTAAAAGAATCATAGGAGTATCTCCAAATAACTAGAACTAACCCTGCACTCAGCAAGGATAAACATTTAGTGAATTGATTTGATATATTTTACTCCATGATCTATTTTTTTATTTTTGAGACAAAGTCTTTCTCTGTTGCCCAGGCTCAAGTGCAGTGGTACAGTCTCGGCTCACTGCAACCTCCGTCTCCTGGATTGAAGCAATTCTCCTGCCTCAGCATCCTGAGTAGCTGAGATTATAGGCCTGTGCCACCATACCTGCTTAATTTTTGTATTTTTAGTAGAGACGGGGTTTCACCATGTTGGCCAGGCTGGTCTCGAACTCCTGACATCAGGCGATCCTCCTACCTTGGCCTCCCAAAGTGCTGGGATGATAGGCGTGAGCCACCGTGCCCAGCCTACTCTATGATCTTCGGATATTCAAAGCACTGCACCTTATGTGACATCTCCACAAAAATACAATTTTCACATATGCTCATTTAACTAACAATTATTGAGTATCTACTGTGTGTCAGAATCTGTGCTGGGCCTAGGTTTTCAGTGAAAGACAAGGTTCTCCCACAGTTCCTATATTTTTGTATAATTTTCTTGATATTTCCAGATTAAGCACAAGACTCCAAATCTTAGCATAGTACTCAGCATACAGCGTTAAATACTTAATTGACTGATATTAAAATGCCAAAATTCATCTAAAACTAAACATTTTAGCCAATACTACTCCCAATCACACCTCCACCTTATACTCTGGTGCCAGAGTATAGTAAGTACCAAGACAGCAATAAGTACCAAAGCAACAACAAAGTTTTCTATACTCCTGATAGAGATATAAAGGATGAATAGGGAAAAAGGAGAAGCTCTCATATTAAGAAAAGAACACCGGTCAGGAGTGGTGGCTCACACCTGTAATCCCAGCACGTTGAGAGACAGAGGCAGGTGGATTGCCTGAGCTCAAGAGTTTGAGACCAGCCTGGGCAATGTGGTGAAACCCCCTCTCTACCAAAGATAGAGAAAATTAGCCAAGCATGGTGGCACATGCCTATGGTCCCAGCTACTTGGGAGGCTGAGATCAGAAGATCACTTGACCCCAGGAGAAAGAGGTTGCAGTGAGCAGAGATCATGCCACTGAACTCCAGCTTGGGTGACAGAGAGATACCCTGTTTAAAAAAAAAAAGAACGAACGAAAGAAAAAAAAGAAGAAAACACATTTTTCTATGAACTATGAACTGGCAATGTGTAAGAATAATAAACAATACATATTAAAAGAGTAAATAAACATAGCATATTGGCTTCTGAAGTCAGAGAAGGTTTAAACTGCCCAAGTACTCTACAGTAAATATTAACTGACATCTATGATAATATTCCTGAATTTACATTCATTTTTTATGTTACCTAAGCCAGAAAGAACTTTCTTCATATCTATTATTCTTCTGAGTTTCTGATCCAAACTTGTAACAGAGTTCATGAAGATACGAAATCTGTAAAAAAAAAAAAAAAAAAGGCATTAGATTCATGATTTCCTTAAACCCCAACACACTTTGGGAGGCCGAGGTGGCAGCGAGCCATGACCATGCCACTACACTCCAGCCTAGGAGACAGAGCAAAACTTCATCTCAAAAAAACAAACAAACAAACAAAATACTTAATGTGTCCTATACATCAAAATAAGCTTCGTTGTCAAACCCTCTAAATTTGTATAAGGATAAACTGCAAAACATTCAGGTTGGGGAATTAGTTATGTATGGAAAAAGTATGACAATAAATTACTAATAGAAGTTAAAAGATCCTTTGTAACAGGAAATGAGAGACTCAATAATTGCCCAGCCAAAGTGCAGGTTAAAACCCTGCTTTTGGTTGCCAGATCCAGTTAAAGGCACTGGAGCAGGAAGTATCTTCAAAGACAAAAAATCACTATTGATGAGGAGTGAGGAGAAAATGAATGGCTGTTTTTTGTTTTTTGTTTTTTGTTTTGTTTTGTTTTGTTTTTTCAAAATGGAGACTACTTTAAAAATTCTGAAGCTCTGTAATGTGTCTAAAGCACTATCTAGTCAAAAGACTTATTTAGAAATAATTACTTTTGTGGACACTCTTGAGCAACAACAATTATTTTCTTTAGATAAATTACCATTGAGATGAAAGTAGGAACAAGTATGTGAGTGGTGCCATAGGAATTGGCATCTCAGTTCCTGCATTAATGCCATGTTTTACCTAATTTTCATCTCTAAAAATACTGGGAAACTGCATAGGAGAAATTTTAATGCTAATATTTTATCCAAATATCCCCTCAGTGTTTATAGAAATCATCTACCTAGAAATTGATTATACCCATATAAAAAGTATTTTATAAGTTTTACCCGAATAAGACTACAGAAACAGATCCTCAACTAGGAATCCAAGATCTGAAGCAAGTTATCCATAAGTAATGTGTAAAGACCTGCCTTGCTTCAAAAAAGCTTCCCTTTGAATTACAGTACATTCAGATAGCAGAAGTTCAATATGCATGTCTGAGCACATCAGACCTACTATATATTTGAGTCTAAAATAAAGAATAAGCCAAGCATGGTGGCACACGCCTGTAATCTCAGCACTTTGAGAGCCCAAGGAAAGTGAATTGCTGGAGGCCAGGAGTTGAAGACCAGCCTGGCCAAAATGGTGAAACTCCCATCTCTACTAAAAACACAAAAATTAGCACAGCATGGTGTCAAGTGCCTGTAATCCCAGCTATTCAGGAGGCTGAGGCAGGAGAACCTCTTGAACTCAGGAGGCAGAGGTTGCAGTGAGCCGAGATCACGCCGCTGCACTCCAGTCTGGGTGACAGAGTGAGATTGTCTCAAAAAAAAAAAAAGAAAAAAGAAAGAAAACAGAAAGAAAGAATAAATAAGACCAAGTGTTTAATAGCACTACAGGGTGACTATGGTCAATAATAATTAAATTATAAATTTTAAGCAGGGCACGGTGGCTCAAGCCTGAAATCCCAGCACTTTGGGAGGCCAAGGTGGGTGGATCACTTGAGGTTAGGAGTTTGAGACCAGCCTGGCCAACACGGTGAAACCCTGTCTCTACTAAAAATACAAAAATTAGTTGGGTGTGGTGTTGGGCGCCTGCAATCCCTGCTACTCAGGAGGTTGAGGCAGGAGAATCGCTTGAACCTAGGAGGCAGAGATTGCAGTGAGCCAAGATCGCGCCACTGCACTCCAGCCTGGGCAACAGAGAGAGACTCCGTCTCAAAATAATAATAATATTATTATTATTATCGTAAAATAATACACATTTTAAAATAACTAACATAATATAATTGGATTGTTTGTAACACAAAGGATAAATGCCTAAAGGGACAGATACTCCATTTTCCATGACATGATTATTATCAATTGCATGCTTATATCAAAACATCTTATGGACCCGATAAATATATACAACTACCATATATCCACAAAAGTAAAAATTTTATTATTTTAAAAAAGTTAAAAAAAAAATTTCAACACATTTCTCAACAGTCACATTGGAAGCTAGATGAGAATCTAACTAATGTTTTCAAAATACTCAGCAAAAATTATTTCCAAGTCCAAATTTTATAACCAGTGAAGGCATAAATTATGATGGTGCAATAAAAATATGTTTAGACATGCAAACTCTTCTAACAATTTTCATCCCATGCAACCATTCTCAAGAAACTACTGAAGGATATGCCCCACAATATTTACGGAGTAAAATCAGAAAAAGAAAGACATAGGATTCAAGAAAAAGGGTTACAATCTAAGAGGAAGTTGAAAGGAATTCTCAAGTCAATGGAGGAGGAAAATCTCAAAACGATAACTGAACAGGATGCTTACACAACAATCTGTAGATTAGAGAAGATTCAAAACTGACAGCTATTTCTTTAAGCAAGTGAAATTGATAAAATAACTAATATATTCTAACATATTGAAAAGAAGTATACATAATTAGGGAAGAAATAATACCAAGTACATGAAATACTAAGTAATCAGGAAAACCAATACAATTAACTACAGGGAAAAACAAACTTTTGTGCAAGAAAAGAAAAGTTATCATAGTACTTTATATGATTGAACTATGATAGTATTTATATAAACACTGGAGTGTAAACACTCAATATTAATCTAACCAAAGTTATGATATAACTATACAGAGATGATGGAGTGACAAGAAGTGAGCATATGTGTTAGGGGTAGAGGGAAAAAGAAAAGGAACTAAATTCATCTTCTAAAATCAGAAGTCAATATATAATATCTAAAAAGTAAAAAATCAAGCAGCAGTATAAGAACACTATGTAGAGAACCTTCCTGCTGCCGCAGTCGCACCTCGCTGCTCCAGCCTCCGGGACACATTCCAGCCTTTCAGCCTGCGACCAGCTGAGAAAAAGAATTACATTTTTTTTTTTTTTGCCCCGTACATACCTTGAGGCGAGCAAAAAAATTAAATTTTAACCATGAGGAAAATCGTGCACATCCAGGCCAGTCAGTGTGGCAACCAGATTGGTGCCAAGTTCTGGGAGGTGATCAGTGATGAACATGGCATCGACCCCACTGGCACCTACCTTGGGGACAGCAACCTGCAGCTGGACCGCATCTCTGTGTACTACAATGAAGCCACAGGTGGCGAATATGTTCCTCCTGCCATCCTGGTGGATCTAGAACCTGTGACCATGGACTCTGTTCGCTCAGGTCCTTTTGGCCAGATCTTTAGACCAGACAACTTTGTTTTTGGTCAGTATGGGACAGGCAACAACTGGGCCAAAGGCCACTACACAGAAGGGGCCAAGCTGGTTGATTCTGTCCTGGATGTGGTCCGAAAGGAGGCCGAGAGCTGTGACTGCCTTCAGGGCTTCCAGCTGACCCACTCACTGGGTGGGGGCACAGGCTCTGGAATGAGCACTCTCCTTATCAACAAGATCCGAGAAGAGTACCCTGATCACACTTTACAAAAGAAGACATACATGAGGCCAACAAACATATGAAAAAATGCTCATTATCACAGGTCATTAGAGAAATGCAAATCAAAACTACATTGAGATACAATCTCACGCCAGTTAGAATGGTGATGATTAAAATATCTGGAGACAACAGATGCTGAAGAGGATGTGGAGAAATAGGAACACTTTTACACTGTTGGTGGGAGTGTAAATTAGTTCAACCATTAGGAAGACAGTGTGACGATTCCTCAAAGACCTAGACATAGAAATTCCATTTGACCTAGCAATGCCATTACTGGGTATATATCCAGAGGATTATAAATCGTTCTACTATAAGGACACATGCACACGAATGTTCATTGCAGCACTGTTTACAATAGCAAAGACCTGGAACCAATCTAAATGCCCATCGATGATAGACTGGACAGGGAAAATGTGGCACATGTACACCATGAAATACTATGCAGCCATCAAAAACGATGAGTTTCTGTCCTTTGTAGGGACATGGATGAACCTGGAAACCATACTTCTCAGCAAACTGACACAAGAACAGAAAATCAAACATCTCATGTTCTCACTGATAGGTGGGTGTTGAACAATGAGAACACATGGACACAGGGAGGGGAGCATCACACACTGGGGAAACAGGGGAGGCACAAAGCGGGATGGGGAGTTGGGGAGAGATAGCATGGGGAGAAATACCAGATATAGGTGATGTGGAGGAAGGCAGCAAATCACACTGCCACGTGTATACCTATGCAACAATCTTGCATGTTCTTCACATGTAACCCAAAACCTAAAATGCAATAAAAAATAAAAAATAAACACTATTTAGATATATGGAGTTATGTAAATACAAAAAGAGCCAACTAAAATAACTGAAAGTAGCTGTTATGTGAAATAAAAATTATAAGTTAAGATAGGTACTGGTAATCTTGGTTTTTCAGGGGGTTTTTTGTTCCGTTTTTTGAGATAAGAGTCTTGCTCTATCACCCAGGCTGGAGTGCCTAGTGCGTTCGCAACTCACTGTAACCTCTGTCTCCCAGGTTCAACCCATTCTTGTGCCTCAACCACCCAAATAGCTACAATTACAGGCACCTGCCACAAAGACTGGCTAAGTTTTCATAAGTACTGGTAATTTTGTAACAAGAACTGTAAACTTATTTTACTCTTTCTATTTATTTATTTATTTTTGCATTTTAGGTTTTGGGGTACATGTGAAGAACATGTAAGATTGTTGTATAGGTTGACACATGGCAGTGTGGTTTGCTGCCTTCCTCCCCATCACCTATATCTGGCATTTCTCCCCATATTATCCCTCCCCAACTCCCCGCCCCCTACTGTCCTTCCTCTATTCCCCCTCCCCCACAGACCCCAGTGTGTGATACTCCCCTCCCTGGGTCCATGTGTTCTCATTGTTCAACATCCACCTATGAGTGAGAACATGCGGTGTTTGATTTTCTGTTCTTGTGTGAGTTTGCTGAGAAGTATGGTTTCCAGGTCCATCCATGTCCCTACAAAGGACACGAACTCATCATTTTTTATGGCTGCATAGTATTCCATGGTGTATATGTGCCACATTTTCCCTGTCCAATCTATCATCGATAGGCATTTGGGTTGGTTGCAAGTCTTTGCTATTGTACTCTTTAAACTATGTATAGATACACACAGATAAAATAAAATTACATGTAACAAGGAGGCATTAAGAAGTAAACTCCATACTTTAAAAAATAACAGTGACAACATAGGTAAAAATCAGTACTAATATTTGTTAGAATGAATCACAAATGTTCTAATGGCTACAAAAGGAGTCTCAAAACATGAACAAATCTTCAAACATGAACAAATCTGGCCAATCTTTCCATATACTGTAAATATTTAGTTTAAAAGTATATGACTCACTTAAAATTTATGGAACATGTTGTTACAAAAATTCCAATGAGTCATTTTTAAGGCTCAAATGATTTTGAGTTTGGGATGAAACTAGATAATCTTAAGTGATTAGGCTCTCCCAAATACGTAAAGCAGTGGGCAGAAAGGTCTGCAGAAAGCAATTATATGCCTAAAAGTCCATAACAGGCAGAAAACTGAATTTTACATCGAGAGGAGTAATTCATTTCCATGCCAAGAGATTGGATTTTACTACATACAGAGAGGTACAGAATATTTACACATTATGTTTCAAATATTTGGCTACAAAATGGTAAATCTGAATAAGGAAAAGAGAATAAAAGAATTGTAATAAAGAGTAAGCAGCCTAGACCTCGTTTACAAGCTTTGTGTACCACAGAGCAGCAATCAAATCTAGTTAAATCTTGAATGAATTACTTCAAAGAGTTTCAGAGATCAATTGCCTATTTTCTTTTTGTAAATAAAAGCTTCATAATGAAGTAAAACTCTATACAGAAGATAAATTCTAGAAGAAACTGAAGATAGAAATGAAAGATAAAAAAAGGCAAGCCAAAGCCTACAAACTACTCAAAATAAAATTCTGATTAACAGGAGAAAGAGATAAAGAATTATGTAAATGAGCTGCTACCAGAGATTTTTATTACAAAAAATACATACATAGGCCCACATACCCTCTGTGTTATGGCTCAGGGCTTCTCTAAACCGAGGACTAGGAATTTTTATAATGAAGTGATCTTTGAGACCATGTCACACATTCTCACTTTATAGATGAGGATACTGATTTTCAGAGCAGTGAAATGTCTCACAACTAGCCATACTAGTGAATAACTCCTCCTACAAGGCTGTATGGAGATCATGAACATTGTCTTGAGTAATTAATTACATGAGTCTCAAATATCAAAGAAAGAATCCTTATGTTCTACTTATAAAAGTAAGTATATGCAAACATTTTTTAAAAATAAATGTTCAAAATATAAGAATTTTCTAACTTTCACTAAATACGGAAGCTCCATTAAATAAAACATCACTGTGTCCCAGTTATTCCAGTTAGTAAATTTTTTACTATACACTTATAGAACCTGGACACTAAACCATTACAGTAGTTCCCCCAATCCATGGTAACCACCTCCCAGCATGGCTTCAGTTATCCAAAAAAAGAAGGGTGAGTATAATTAAAAAAAAAAAAAAAGTATTTTGAAAGAGAGAGACCACATTCACATAACTTTTATTACAGGGTATTGTTATAATTATTCTATTTTATTAGTAGTATTATTCATTTTTTTCAGTGTCTAATTTATAAATTAAAATTATCATTAAGTATGTATATATAGGATTTGGTACTATCCCCAGTTTCAGGTATCCACTGGACATCTTGGAACATGTCCTCCATGGATAAGGGGGGACTACTGCATTGCTATCCATTTCATTGTTTGACATCACACCTCTATCAAGCTTCTACAAGTGCTGTGTGGCATATATTTACTTTAAAATAGAAGTTAATTAAGTTTGACTTGCTTAAGAGTATGTTTTCTTGGTTTTGATTCTTTAGGACTTCATAAAATCATCTTAAGAGAATTAGATACATCTTTCTAAAATTTTATTTAACTTTTTAAAACTTTTTATTTCCATAGGTTATTGAAGAACAGGTGGTGTTTAGTTACATTAGTAAGTTCTTTGATGATTTGTGAGATTTTTGTGCACCCATCACCTGAGCAGTATAAACTGCACCCAATTTGTAGTTTTCTATCCCTCTTCCACTTCCCACCCTTTCCTCGAATCTCCAAAGTCCATTGTGTCATTTTTATGCCTTTGCATCCTCATAGCTTAGTTCCCACTTATGAGTGAGAAAATACAATGTTTGGTTTTCCATTCCTGAGTTACTTCGATTAGTGACTGGTATCCATTCTTTATGTACTTTCTCTTCCTATAGCAGTGGCCACTTGAATAACAAGCATTTTAAAAATTTATTTTTATAGTTCTATAATTCTCCACGGGGATGGAGATTCTGAGGACTGAGTGGTCTCCCTGGTAAGAGTCTATGCGATCATTCTAATATAAGAAAGTATTCTCATGCCTGTAATCCCAGCACTTTGTGAGGCTAAGGCAGGCAGATCACTTTAGGTGAGGAGTTTGAGACCAGCCTGGCCAACATGGTGAAATCCCAGCTCTACTAAAACTACAAAACTTAGCCAGGAATGGTGGTGCATGCCTGTAATCCCAGCTACACGAGAGGCTGAGGCAAGAGAATTGCTTGAACCCGGGAGGCGGTAGTTGCAGTAAGCCAAGATCACACCATTGCACTCCAGCCTGAGTGACAGAGTGAGTGAAACTCTGTCTCCAAAAAAAGGGTATTATTCTTCCACCCAGGAGATGAGCATGTAAATTCAGAGCCCAGATAGGGTGAGAGAACACAGACATGAAATAATGGTAAGGCAAAGGGAGTCAGAGCAGAGGGAAGAGGGTAACCACCCAGGGAGAGAAACCCAAAATGAAGAGTCAGAGTATGAGCATGGAGAAGAGGACATCCTCATAGTGAATAGAGTGGCAGAGAACATGGGAGATTAGTAACATACAGGGATACTGATTAAATACATAAATATATTAAGGATAATTGAAGCTAAGTTTTTTGTTATTGGAGAAGAGAATTAGAAATATGGAAAATTAGGATGAATATTTTGTTTTTGGATTGAAACAGAAGATATCATGGTTGTCAGTATATTATAGATGACAGATGATAGATAGATTAGATAGACAATATAGATAAATGTAATGGACATGTATGAGTGTGTATGTATATGTATACATATGCTCTTTCCATTGAGAGGGTCTGCGAGAGCAGTGACATCCCAAAAGCAGTAAGGACGCATAATGCCCAGATCTTGTCTTCTTTTATTTATTTTTATTTTTTTTATTTTTTGAGAAAGAGTTTCGCTCTTGTTACCCAGGCTGGAGTGCAATGGCGCGATCTCGGCTCACCGCAACCTCCGCCTCCTGGGTTCGGGCAATTTTCCTGCCTCAGCCTCCTGAGTAGCTGGGATTACAGGCACGAGCAACCATGCCCAGCTAATTTTTTGTATTTTTAGTAGAGACGGGGTTTCACCATGTTGACCAGGATGGTCTCGATCTCTCGACCTCATGATCCACCCGCCTCGGCCTCCCAAAGTGCTGGAATTACAGGCTTGAGCCACCGCGCCCGGCTGATCTTGTCTTCTAAATAAGATTTTCTACTAAAATAAATAAGGACTCCTGAGATAAATAGCTAATTTCGTGGCTTGATCAAGAAAGCACACACGTGCCTGTAGTCCAGCTACTCAGAAGGCTGTGGTGGGAAGATGGCTTGAGCCTGGGAAATTGAGGCTGCGGTGAGCTAAAAATACAAAAACTAGCTGGGCATGGTGGGGCATGCCTGTAATGCCAGCTACTCAAGAGGCTAAGGCAGGAGAATCGCTTGAACCCACAAGGCAGTAGTTGCAGTGAGCTAAGATCATGCCACTGCACTCCAGCCTCAGTGACTCAGTCTGGGTGACAGAATGAGTGAGATCACATCACTACACTCCAGCCTGCATGACAGAGTGAGACTCTGTCTCAAGAAAGGAAAAAGGAAAAACCAAAGGAAGGTGAAAAAAGAAAGGAAAGAAGGGAAGGGAAGGGAAAAGGGGAAAGGGGAAAGGAAATACAAAATAAGCCTGGAATATTTTATTGTGCCCAAAAACACATAGAAGTCAAGTAACACCAGCAACATGGCAGACTAAGAGATCACAGCCCTAGTGTCTCCATAAAAGCAATGATTTAAAACTATGTACAGGCCAAAACAATTCTCAGAGAGCTCCAGAGCCTGTAATCCTAGCATTTTGGAAGGCCGAGGTGGGCGGATTGCTTAAACCCAGGAGTTCAAATTCAGACTGGACAACATGGTAAAACCCCATCTCTACAAAAAAATACAAAAATTATCCAGGTGCGCTAGGGTCTCAGCTACACAGAAAGAGGTAGGGCCAGCTGAAGTAGGAGGATCAATTGAGCCCAGCAGTTTGAAGCTGCAGTGAGCCGTTTTCACACCACTGCAATCCAGTCTGGGTGACAAAGTGAGACCTTGTCTCAGAGAAAAAAAAAAAAAAAAAGAGGAAGCTGAAGTAAATCTGAGGATAGCCACATAGAAAACAGTAGGAAGAACAGATCAGTTTTATTTTGCCTGCATCACTCCATCCCCTAGGTCAGGATAGTTCAATATCTGAAGGTATTCCTTCAGCTATGAGTTTCAAAGTGAAGGAAAAGGAGAACAGGAAAATACCAGAAGCCTTCCACTGAGGACTATTTCAGCCTTCACAGTGGAGGACCCCCACCCCCACCCCGCAGTCTTTTGCCAAAGTGGACCTGAGCTGCTGGAGCCACCAAAGCCCACACCAATGCACTTACCTGGAGCTTGTGCTACTGTGTCCAACCCCCGCCCCCCACCCCGCCAGGTGATGCCAAGAATCCCCCTTTGAGCTGCTGGCAACACGCACTCCCTGGTCCCACACTACCACATACCTCTTGGATTAGCATTCCCGTATGTATCCAGGACTAGCACCACCACACATCTCACCAACCCAGCACACCTGCACACACCCACAGGTGAAGATTTTTCCCTATCAAAACCAGTCTATAAACTCTGAAAGAGGTGACTGCTTCTAAATTCTTAGAAACATATAGCCTGACAACACTGAACCAAGAAGAAAGAGAAACAAAAGACCAGTAAAAAATAAAGAGATTGAATCAATAATCAAAAAACTCTCCCAGGGAAAAAAAAAAAATCCCAATACTAAATGGCTACACTGGTGTATTCTACCAAACATTCATAGAATTAAAATAAACCCTTCTCAAACTCTTCCAAAAAATGAAGAGGGAATATTTCCAAGTTCATTTTATGAAATCAGCATTACTCTGATACCAAAGAAAGACAAGGACACCAGAGGAAAAGAAAACTGCAGGCCAATTTCCCTGATGAACATAGATGCAAAAATCCTCAATAAAATAAGCATGGTTTAACACGTGAAAATCACTGTGATATATACTATTAACAAAATGGAAGATTAAAATCACATGATTATCTCAATAGATGCAGAAAAAGCATTTGACAAAATTCATTAAACATGAACACTCTCAACAAAATAGGTATACAAGGAACATAACTCAATACAAAAGGCCGTAAATGAAATACCACAGCTAACATCACAATTGATGGGGAAAAAAAGAAAGCTTTTCCTTCAAGATCTAGTACAAGGCAAGGAAGCCCACCCCTCAATACTTCTATTCAACAAAGTACTAAAAGTCCCAGCAACAGCAACTAGGCAAGAAAAAGAAAAAAAAAAAAAACAAAAACAAAAACAGAAAACATCCAAATGAGAAGGAAGAGTAAAATCATCCGTGCTTGAAAAGACATGATCATATATTTTGAGAATCCTAAAAACTCAACAAAAAAGAAGTTAGAACTAATAAATAAATTCGTCAAAGTAACAGGATACCAAATCAAGATACAAGTACCAGTGACGTTTCTATACACTAACAACAAACTAACCAAGAGGAGGCTTAAGAAAACAGTACATTCACAATAGCAACAAAAAATAAAATACTTAGCAATAAACTTAAAGAGGTGAAAGACTTCTACAGTGAAAATTATAAAACATTAGTGAAGGAAATTAAAGAGCATGTAGATAAATGGAAAGACAACCCACATTCATAGATTGGAATAATTAATATTGTTAAAATGTTCATACTACCCAAAACGATCTACAGATTCAATGTATTACTATCAAAATCCTAATGGCATTCATTATAGATAGGAAAAATAATCTTAAAATTCATATAAAATAATAAAAGAATCCAAATAGCCAAAAAAATCTTGAACAAGTACAAACCTAGGGGCATCACACCTCCTCATTTCAAAATATATTACAAAGCTATAGTAACCAAAACAGATTATTTTGATACTGGAATAAAAACAAACATATACACTAATGTAACAGAATAGAAGAGCCAGAAATAAATCCACACATTCACAGGCAACTGATCTTCAACATGAGTGCCAAAAACACACAGTGAAGAAAGGACAGTCTCTTCAGTAAAGAGTGTTGATGGATATCAACATGCAAAATAATGAAATTGGACCCTTATATCACACTATATACAAAAATCAACTCAGAATAACTTAAAGACTTTGTATTAGGCTGTTCTTGCATTGCTATAAAGAAATACTTGAGTGCCGGGCGCGGTGGCTCAAGCCTGTAATCCCAGCACTTTGGGAGGCCGAGGTGGGTGGATCACGAGGTCCAGAGATCGAGACCATCCTGGTCAACATGGTGAAACCCCGTCTCCACTAAAAATACAAAAAATTAGCTGGGCATGGTGGCGCGTGCCTGTAATCCTAGATACTCAGGAGGCTGAGGCAGGAGAATTGCTTGAACCCAGGAGGCAGAGGTTGGGGTGAGCTGAGATCGTGCCATCGCACTCCAGCCTGGGTAACAAGAGCAAAACTCCGTCTCAAAAAAAAAAAAAAAAGAAAAAAAGAAATACTTGAGACTGGGTAATTTATTAAGAAAAAAGGTTTAATTGGCTCATGGTTCTCTGCAGACTGTACAAAAATGGCACCAACATCTTCTCAGCTTCTGATGAGTGCTTCCAGAAGCTTATAATCATGGCCAGCTTCTGGTGAGGGCCTCAGGAGGGCAAACAGGAACCAGCATATCACATGGCAAGAACAGGAACAAGATAGTGGCAGGGTGAAAGGGGGGAATAGCCAGCATGTCATATGGCGAGAACAGGAGCAAGACAGTGAGGGGGGAGGGTGCCACACACTTTTTAAAACAACCAGATCTCATGTGAACTCAGTGAGAACTCACTTACTATTGTGAGGTCAGCATCAAGCTATTCATAAGGGATCCACCACCAAGATCCAATCACCTCCCACAAGGGCCCACCTCCAACATTGGACATTACCCTTCGACATGAGGTTTGGAGTGACAAATATCCACACCATATCAGACTTCATACCTGAAACCATAAAACTTCTAAAAGAAGACAAGGGAAAAGCTTCTTGAAATTGGTCTTGGCAATGAGTTTTTGTGTATGACTCTAATAACACAGGCACCAAAACCAAAAATAAACAAGTGAGATTACATCAGACTAAAATGCTTCTGCACAGCAAAGAAACTCCATCAACACAGTGAAAAAGTATCCTACAAAATGAGACAAAATATTTGCGAACTATATATCTGATGAGGAATTAATGTGCAAGATATGCAAGGGACTCATACAACTCTATAGCACAAACAAACAAAAAAAACCCAGGTTCCTCAATTTAAAAATGGGCAAATGATCTGAATAGACCTCTCGTCAAAGAAAATATACAAATGGCCAACAGGCATATGAAAAAGTGTTCAACATTACTAATTGATATGGTTTGGCTCTGTGTTCCCACCCAAATCTCATCTTGAATTGTAATCCCCAGCGCTGAGGGAGAGGCCTAGTGGGAGGTGATTGGATCATGACCGTGGATTTCCCTCTTGCTATTCTCATGATAATGAGTTCTAATGAGATTTAGTTTGAAATTGCATAGCACTTCCCCCTTCATTCTCTCTTCCTCCTGCTCCAGCCATGTAGGATGTGCCAGCTTCCCCTTCACCTTCTGCCCTGATTGTAAGTTCCCAGAGATTCCCCTAAGCTATGCTTGCTGTACAGCCTGTGGAATCGTGAGCCAAATAAACCTCTTTTCTTTATAAATTACCCAGTCTCTGGTAGTTCTTTATACCAATGTGAGAACAAACTAATACACTAATCATCAGAGAAATTCCAATCAACACCACGATGGGACATCACCTAATACCTGTTTGTACGGCTATTACTAAAAAGTCAAAAGACAATGTGTCATTGAGGAATGGCAAATGGGGAGCCCTTGCACACTGTTGCCAATGTAAATTTGTACAACTATTTTGCAAAATAGTAGAAATGTTAAAAAAAATAATAAAACTACCATATGATATAGATAGCCATTTCACTTCTAGGTACAGTCATCTCTCAGTATCTGCTGGGGATGTGTTCCAGGACCCTCTATGGATACCAAAATCCACAGATATTCAAGTCCCTTATATAAAATGGCATAGTATTTGCATGTAACCTACAAACATCCTCATATACTTTACATCATCTCTAGATTACTTCTAATATCTAATACAATGAATATTCTATGTAAATAATTGTTATACTGCATTATTTAGGGAATAATGTAAATAATACAGTATAACAACTGTATTTGGTAGGAAAAGGAAAGTAGTAGGAAAAAGTATATACATGTTCAGGACAGCTGCAACCATCCTTTTTTCCCAAGTATTTTCAATACTCAGCTGGTTGAATACATGGATGTGGAAGCCAGGGTCACAGAGGGCTAACTGTATGTATGCAAAGGAACTAAAGTAAGGATTTTGAGATATCTGCATTTACATACTCATTGCAGCATTATTCACAATACTCAAGATATGGAAACAACCTAAATATCTGTTAACAGATAAATGGATAAAGAAAATGTGGTATGGATACACACACACACATTTATATATGTGTGTGTGTGTGTGTACATATATATATTAGCCTTATGTAGTTATACAGTTATTATATACATACATACACACACGTATGTATTAGCCTTAGTTTGTGTCACTATAAAGAAATACCTGAGGAAGAGTATTTTTTTTTTCACATTTTCCATCACTCCTAGGGTAATTTATTTTAAAAAGAGGTTTATTTGATTAACGGTTTTACAGGCTGTACAAGATGGTGCCAGTATCTGCTTCTGATGAGGGCTTCAGGCTGCTTCCACTCATGGTGGAAGGCAAAGAGAAGCAGACCTGTGCAGAAATCACATGGCTAGAGAGTGGAAGCAAGAGAGAGCAGAGGGAGACACCAGGCTCTTCTAAATAACCAGCTCTAGCAGGAACTAATAGAGAGAACTCACTCAATACCATGAGGATTGCAACAAGCCATTCATGAGAGATCTGCCTTCATGATACAAACACCTCCCACTATGCCCCACCTCCAACATTAGAGATGAAATTTCAACATGAGATTTGGTTGGCTTGGGGGCTAGGGGGCCAAACATTGAAACCTTAATGAAAGCCTTAAAAGAAAAGAAAATTGTCTCATTTGAAACAATATGGATAAATCTGGATGACATTATGCTAAGTGAAATAAGCCAGGCACTGAAAAGCAAATACCATATGACCTCATTTATATGTGAAATGAAAAAGTCAAACTTACAGAAGCAGAGAATAAAATGGTAGCTGCCAAGGGCTCAGGGGAAGGGCAAATAGGGTGATGTTATATATAGTGTACAAAGTTTCAGATATACAACATGAATAAGTTCTAGAGATCTAATGCACAGCATGGTGACTATAGTTAATAACAATGCATTGTGTATTGTATACCTGAATTTTTCTAAGAGACTACATCTTAAGTATTCACACCACAAAAAAATGTTAACTATTGTTCATTACCCGCCTATAAGTGAGAAAATGCAGTGTTTGATTTTCTTCTCTTGTGTCAGTTTGCTGAGAATGATGGTTTCCAAGTTCATCCATGTCCCTACAAAGGACATGAACTCATCATTTTTGATGGCTGCATAATATTCCATGATGTATATGTGCCACATTTTCCCTGTCCAGTCTATCATCAATGGGCATATATGGACACAGGGAGGGGAGCACTACACACTGGGGTCTGTTGAGGGGATATAGGAGAGGGACAGCGGGTGGCGGGGAGCTGGAGAGAGATAGCATGGGGAGAAATGCCAGATATAGGTGAAGGGGAGGAAGGCAGCAAATCACACGGCCATGTGTGTACCTATGCAACAATCTTGCATGTTCTTCACACGTACCTGAAAACCTAAAATGCAAAATATATATATATATATATAATATATATATATTATATATATATGTATAAAATGCTAACTATGTGAGATAATTAATATGTTCATTACCTTTATCACGGTGATCAGTCCAAAATGTGTATGTATATCAAAACATCAAGCTGTGCACCTTAAATGCATACTACTTTTTAATTTGTCAATTCTACCGAAATAAATATTTTAAAAAAAGACAAGTTGAGGCTGGAAACTGAAAGAACACAAATAGATCACCAGGCTAGTGAACCACTCTACCATCCCAAAAAAGACATAAAAATCAGCTTAAAGGGTGTCTGTCTTAATGACCAAATGTAGAAAGAGATAAGCATCAAAATAGTGTTTTAGACTGAGCACAGTGGCTCACACCTATAATCCCCACACTTTGGGAGGTCAAGGAAGACAGATCACTTGAAGTCAGGGGTTCGAGACCAGCCTGGCCAACATGGTGAAACCCTGTCTTTACTATATATATATATATATGCACATACACACAAAAATTAGCCAGGCATAGTGGCTCATGCCCACATGCATGTAGTCCCAGCTACTCGGGAGGGTTAGGCAGGAGAATCACTTGAACACTTGAATCCAAGAGATGAAGGTTGCAGTGAGCCGAGATCATGCCACTGCACTCCAGTCTGGGTGACAGAGCGAGACTCTATCACAAAAAGAAAAAAAGTAAAAATAAATAAATAAATAGTGTTTTAGTTTTGGGTAAGATAAAGTTAAGTATGCACCACCCTTTATCTCCCACTGAATGGAACAATAAACCTGGACAGAATGCATGTAGCTATTTGAGGCCTCAAAAGGTAATAGCAAAAGGCAAATAAAGGAAGAACACCAGAATTCAAATTAACACCAAACTGGTGGTAAGTTTACCATTCTTTTCCGCTAATATCCCCTGGCCTAAACTTAATGCATCCAGAAACTCAGAAGCGAATGATGTGGTACAGACTTAGGGTGCTTGTCTACATCTGGCTTGAGTTGCTCAGAGAAAGTGCAAATATTCCATTTTGGTTTTTGTTTCATCTTGCTTCCATTCTCTTGTGTCCAGGCCCTAGGCAATCCCATGGTGGCAACAGCAGCGGTAGCTAGGGGAAACCACAATGCTCAAAACTTTGAGAGAGGAAAACCTTACTCTCCATTCAGTGCAGCCACAGATCCCACAGGATGGGACGAACACCCACTGCTTTTTTTCCTGTCTGTGTCTTCCTACTGCTTGGCCTCAGTCACAGTGTAACTGCAGATCATGGATAGTTACTGGTTGGAGGACTGAAAAGGGTAGCTCAGAGAACCAGAACCAAGAAGACCAGAGAGAGAGAGAGAGAGAGAGAGAGAGAGAGAGAGAGAGAGAATCGCAGAGAAACAACAAAATAAAGTTGATTAAGTTCAAGGCTCATCCTACAATCTTAACAACCAGGAATCTCAACCTAATTTGCATAAAAAAACTTTGATAACTGAGCTAACAGATAAACCTCTGCCAAGTAGCAGGACTGACCAATGAGTGTCACATATGCAAAACAAATCTGAAGAGCACTGCAAAATTGAAACAACATTGGAACCATAACCCACAAAAAATGAGTTTAAAATTTGCCTGAATCTACCAGATTGATTACCTGGCCATAATAAAAATATCAACACTCCCCCAGAATTTAGATGAGACCCGGAAGCCAAAAATGTAATATAGAAAATGTGTAAGGGTTGGGCGTGGTGGCTCACACTTGTAATCCCAGCACTTTGGGAGGTCAAGGCGGGCAGATCACTTGAGGTCAGGAGTTCTGAGACCAGCCTGGTCAACATGCCGAAACCCAATCTTTACTAAAAATACAAAAAATTAGCCAGGCATAGTGGTAGGCACCTGTAATCCCACCCACTTTGGGAGACTGAGGCTGGAGAATGGCTTGAACCCAGGAGGCAGAAGTTGCAATGAGCTGAGATCATGCCACTACACTCCAGCCTGGGTGCAAGAGAGTAAGACTCCGTCTCAAAAAAAAGTCACCTTATGAGATATTGGCCAGGCACGGTGGCTCACACTTGTAATCCTAGCACTTTGGAAGGCCAAGGTGAGTGGATCACCTGAGGTCAGGAGTTCGTGACCAGCCTGGCCAACACAGTGAAACACCGTCTCTACTAAAAATGCAAAAATTAGCTGGGTGTGGTGGCAGCCACCTGTAATCTCAGCTACATGAAAGGCTGAGGCTCACTGCAACCCGGCAAGCAGAGGTTGCAGTGAGCCGAGACTGCGCCATTGCACTCCAGCTTGGGCAACAAGAGCAAAACTCTGTCTCAAAACAAAATAGATGTTAAAATAAGGGCGGAGCAAGACCTAAAAGCCTTCATCATTCATCCCCTCCACTGTAACACCAAATTTTCATAACTATCTGCACACAGAAAGGCACCATCACAAGAACCAAAATCAGGTGAACACTCACAGTACCTGGTTTTAACTACATATTGTGGAAAGAGGCATTGAAGAGGGCAGGAGAAACAGTCTTGAATCGCCAAGGCCACCCCACCCCCACCCCTTGGCAGCAGCTATGCAGTGCAGAGACAGAATCTGTGCACTTTGCAGAGGAAGAGCACGGTGACTGGGGGACTTTACATCGAACTCAGTGCCGCACAGTCACAGTGGAGAAAAAAGCCATGCTGGATTCAGTCAGCACCTGTGCACAGAGGGAGCATTTGGACCAGCTTTGGCCACAGGAGAATTACCCTTCATCCCAGTGGTGGAAACCTGAGTTTATTGGCAAGCCTTGCCACTGTGGGCTGAAGTGGTCTGGGGTCTTATGTAAACTTGAATGGCAGTCTAGGGCACAAGCACTGCAATTCCTAGGCAACTCCTAGTGTGAAGCTGGGCTTAGAGACAGTGAACTTGCCATGTGACCTAGAGAGACACCAGCTGGCACAGCAAAGGGAGAGCTTGCACCATCCCTTCCCCAACCCCAGGCAGTACACCTCGTAGCAATGAAAGTAACTCCTTCCTTCTGCCTAAAGAGAGGGGAGGGAAGAGTAAAGAGGTCTCACATCTTGGATACAAGCTCAGCCACAGTAGGACAGGGTACTGGGCAGAGTAGTGATGCCCCCATTCCAGGACCTAGCTCTTAGATCACATTTCTAGACATCCTGGGCCAAAAGGAAACCCACTGCCTTGAAGGAAAGGATCCAGTCCTGGCAGGATTAATCACCTGCTGACTGAAGAACCCTTGTTATAGCCCTGGAATAACCATTAATGACCCAGGGAGTATACCATGGGCCTTGGGCTCTGCGAAGTGCTGGCTCCAGGGGACACCCAGCACATTCCTAGCACATTTCCTGCTGTAGTGGCTCCAGCGAAAGATTCCTTTGGTTTGAGAAAAGCAGAGGAAAAGTAAAGAGGACTTTGTACTGCACTCTAGGTACCAGCTTGGCTCTTAGGGTCCCCAAATCCAGGTGTAGCCTCTTGGACAGCATTTCTGATCCTAGGACACAGGAGAGCCCCCTGCCCTGAAAGATGAGTCCCAGGCCTGGCAGCATTCACCAGAAGCTGATGGAAAAGACCTTGGACTTTATGTGAACATCGGTGGTGGCCTAGCAGAACACCCCATGAATCACTGATGGTGGTGGCCACAGGGAGAGGCTCCTCTGCCTGTGGAAAGGGAGGGAAGAGTGGGAAGGGCTTTGTATTGTGATTTGAGTGCCAGTTTAACTGCAGTAGAATAAGACATTAGGTACGTTGCTAAAGTTTCTGACTCCAATCCCTGGCTCCCAGAGAGCATCTCTGGACACACCCAGGGTAGGGGTGGAGAACTCACCATCCTAAAGGGAAGGGCCTTCCTTGGGCAAAGTCCAGTGCTGTGCTGGCTTTAAATCTGACACAGCACAGGCCCAGTGCTTGCATCACCACACCCCCAGCTCAACACAGAAACAGTGATTTCATGTTTCAGAGAAAGTAAGGGAAAAGAGCAAGAGTTTCTGCTTGGTAATCCAAAGAATTCTTTCAGATGTTATTCAAGGTCATCAAGGCAGTACTCTCTGTGAGTCTGCAAGAAACACACCATTATTAGGCTTGGGGCCCAAGTCCCTTTGGATAATGAAAAGCATCCCAAGAAGGACAGGCATGACCAAGCCTAGACTGAGAACACTACAATAAATACCCAACTCTTCAATGCCCAGACACTGATGAATATCTACAAGCATCAACACCATCCAGGAAAACATGACCTCACCAAATGAATTAAATAAGGCCCTAGGGACTAATTCTGAAGAAACAGAGATATGTGACTTTTCAGACAGAGAATTCAAAACAGCTATTTTGAGGAAACTCAAAGAAATGCAAGATAACACAAAGAAGGAATTCAGAATTCTATCAGATAAATTTAACAGAGACTGAACAATTTAAAAGAATCAAGCAGAAATGCTGGAGTTGAAAATGCAATTGACATGCTGAAGAATGCGTCAGCCTCTTAGCAGCAGAACTGATCAAGCAAAAGAAAACTAGAGCTTCAGGACAGGCTGTTTGAAAATACAGTCAGAGGAGACAAAAGAAAAAAGAATAAAAAAGCATGAAGTATACCTATACGATCTAGAATATAACCTCAAAAGGGAAAATCTAAGATCCATTGGCTTTAAAGAGGAGGTAGAAAAAGAGCTATAAGTAAGAAGTTCATTCTGAGAGATAGTATCAGAAAATACCCCAAACCTAGAGAAATATATCAACATTCAAGTATAAGAAAGTTATAAAACACCAAGCAGATTTAACCAAAAAAACACCTCAAGGCATTTAATAATCAAACTCCCAAAGGTCAAGGATAAACAAAGAATCCCAAAAACAGTAAAAGAAAAGAAAAAAAAATCACATACAATGGAACTTCAATACATTTGGCAGCTGACTTGTCAGTGGAAATTTTACAGGCCAGGAAAGAGAAGCATGACATATTTAAAGCGCTGAAGGAAAAAAAAGTTTACCCTAGGATAGTATAACCAGTAGAAAGTATCCTTCAAACATGAGAAAGAAATAAAGACTTTCCCAGACAATCAAAAGCTGAGGTTATTTCATCAATACCAGACCTGTCCTACAAGAAATGCTAAAGGGAGTTGTTCAATCTGAAAGAAAAGGATGTTAATGAGAAAGAAGCAATCATGTGAAGGTACAAAACTCACTGGTAATAGTAAGCACACAGCCGGGTGCGATGGCTCACACCTGTAATCCCAGCACTTTGGGAGGCTGAGGCGGGTGGATCACCTGAAATGAGGAGTTCAAGACCAGCCTAACCAATGTGGTGAAACCCCGTCTCTACTAAAAATACAAAAATTAGCCAGGCATTGTGGCATGTGCCTGTTGTCCCAGCTACTCAGGAGGCTGAGGCAGGAGAATTGCTTAAACCAAGGAGGCAGAGGTTGCAGTGAGCCTAGATCAGGCCACTGCACTCCAGCCTGGGCGACAGAGCAATACTCCATCTCAAAAAAAAAAAAAAAAAAATAGTAAGCACACAGAAAAAGAATGATATCACACTGAAATTGTGGGGTACAAACTTCTCTTGACTTAAGTATAAAGAATAAATGATAAACCAACCAGAAATAGTAACAACAACTTTTCAAAACATAGTACAAAAACAAAAAGACATGTTGTATAACATGAAATATGGAGCAAAAGTTATCAAATGCTTTGATAAAAAAAGACAAAGCAAAGAAAATTTTAAGAAATATTCCATATGGGCCAGGTATGGTGGCTCACGCCTGTAATCTCAGCACTTTGAGAGGCGAAAGTGGGCGGATCACTTGAGGCCAGGAATTCAAAACCAGCCTGGCCGACATGTTGAAACCCCATCTCTACTAAAAATACAAAATGTAGCACAGGCCTGTAATTCCAGCTACTCAGGAGGCTGAAGCATGAGGATCACTTAAACCTAGGAGGTTGCAGTGAGCCGAGATCACACCACTGCACTCCAGCCTGGGTAACAGAGTGAAAACAGAGTTTTAAAAAGAAAAGAAAAGAAAAAAGAAAAAAAGAGAAATATTCCATATAGCTTTTTCAAATTCCCTTTCTGGTAAAGAACAAAGGCAGCAAAATATTTCAACGATCAGTTACTTAAGTGGAACAGATCTCAAATAGAATCTCTGAAAGGTTACATGAAGAAGTAGTAATGATTTTTCCTGCAACGTGAAATAGCACATTTTTAAACTCTTGGAGAATGCAGATTTCACTCACCATTTCAGGGAGCCTCACCAACATATCTTTACATTGCAGTACACACATAGATGCTTTTTGAAAATCCCCTTGAAAAACTGCCTGAAAAAGACAAAGAATGTCAATAATCGGTTAAAATGAAATGACAAAGTTGTCTCTAAGTCAATTTTAGCATATTTTAACTAGTGTTTAAAAGTCTTATTTTGTTTTCTAATATTTTTAGCAATGCTAACTGTTCAAGCGAAACATGATAGCTTGCTCAGAATACAGAGGAATAAGTGGTAAGAATCTTTGGTGACAGAGTTGATACTGAATGAACAGGAGTCATTTACTTTTTCTGGAAATGCAAAAACTAGTTGTACTACCTTATGTTATTATATTATGACATAATGCTAGGTCTACTAGATGCTTCTGCAATTTTAATAGCTCTCGTATTCACCTTTATATTAGAGGAATTAAGTTAAACAGCAGTCTTTGTCTTAAAACAAGCTCACAATAACCTCACAGTCTGAACTGTTATTTATATCCACTGTGAAAAACAGCTTATCAATTAGCCAGACATGGTGCCACACACCTCTAGTCCCAGCTACTCTGGAGGCAAAGGCGGGATAAATTGCTCAAGTCCAGGAGTTCGAAGCTGCAGTAAGCTAAGAAGATACCAGTCTACTCCTGCCACAGATGAGAGCAAAATCCCATCTCTTTAAAAAAAAAAAAAAAATTAAGTAAAAAGAAAAGCAGCTTAGTACAATCTCATCATGAAGCCAGAAGAGCCACTCTGCCATTTATTATGTATAACTTTGAGCCTTAAGCTCTCACAGATTGTTTCCTCATCCATAAAGTCAGGAGACTGTACTAGACTATCTGTAGGGTTCCTCTCAGTTCCACCATTCTATGACTGAACACCCCCAAATGAATGAAAACATCAATCACACATTACTTTAGCACTTGTGGAAGAGGCTTGTTTTTCAGCCATTTAAGAACTTAGTTTAACCAGGCACGGTGGCTCATATTTTTAGCATATCTTAACTAGTGTTTAAAAATCTTATTTTGTTTTCTAATAGTCTTAGCAATGCTAGTTGTTCGAGCTAAACATGACAGCTTGCTTAAAATGCAGAGGAGTAAGTGGTGAGAATTTTTGGTGACACAGAGTTGATACTGAATAAGTGGGCACTTTGGGAGGCCAAGGTGGGTGGATCACCTGAGGTCAGGAGTTCGAGACCAACATGGTGAAACCCTGTCTCTACTAAAAAAAAAAAAAAAAAAAAAAAAAAAAAAAAAAAAAAAAAAAAAAAAAAAAAAAAAATAGCCAGGCATGATGGAGGGCACCTGTAATAACAGCTACTCCAGAGCTAGAGGTTGCAGTGAACTGAGTTCGCACCACTGCACTTCCAGCCTGAGTGACAGAGTAAGACTGTCATCAAAAAATAAAAACAAACCATGGATACATACAAGAAAATAATCTTATAAAGTACTATATTTGGTATTTTCTTCTCTTCTTTATGTGGTATCAAATATTATTGTGCTTTAAATAATAAAAGAATTGAATAGAGAGAAGAATATATAAATAACGTAAGATGTCAGCTAGTTTTCTCCTCTACCTGCTGAATAGTAAGCCTGACATCTTGCTGAGTAGATACTCTTATAAGGCTTTAATACTAGATATTATTAAAGGGCAAAATAAATTGCTAACACAAGTGCCTCAATAAGCCAAATCACTATATAAAGACTAGAAAATAACATTCCTGTCTACACTATATTCTATGAATACTTGATGATTAATTCATTATTTAAAGTGGAGAAAATCTTATAAAAGAAAAATGCTGAGTGACAAACCTCATATCAGAGGATGAATGCTGCTATCTGTTCTTATATAAAACAATATGAGACTTTAATGTTCAAACAACCCATAAAGTGTCTATCATTGCTCAGATTTTATCTTAAAGAAATCAAAGTTCTAATAATTCAGGCTAGTTCTGAAAATTTATTCATCTTCCTATGACTAGAAATCAATATTTCAAGCCCAAAAGATAAAAGATTTCAAGTAAAAGAAGTCTTAAAGAGGAGGCAGCATGATGCAGTGCTGTAGCAACCTTCTGTGAGCATCAGACTCACCAGCAGAGCTTTCTGAAAATCACATGCCCAGCTCTCACCACTTGGAGATTGTGATTCATTAGGTCTGCAGTGATGCCCTGCCTATACTGATGTGGTGAAAAGAACTTAGAAAATGATGCCCTGCCTATACTGATGTGGCTCAGTGAACTTAGGAAAGTCACAATCTCTTTGAGGCTCTATTTTCTTAACTATAAAATAGGGATAGCAATGTCTACAATATAGGATTGATCTTATAAGGATCAAATGAGATCACAGATGTAAAAGCATTTTATAAACTGCAAGTCAGTATTCAAAAATGTGTACAATCTGGGCAGTCAAAATTACCATCAGGGCTGAGCACAGTGGCTCACCCCTGTAATCCCAGCACTTTGGGAGGCCAAGGTGGGCTGATCATCTGAGGCCAGGAGTTTGAGACCAGCCTGGCCAACATGGCAAAACCCTGTCTCTACTAGAAATAAAAAAGAAGCTAGGCATGGTGGCATGTGCCTGTAATCCCAGCTACTTGGGAGTCTGAGGCAGGAGAATTGCTTGAACACAAGAAGCAGAGGCTGCAGTGAGCTGAGATTCCACGAGTGTACTCCAGCCTGGGCAATAGAGTGAGACTCTGTCCCTACTCCACAAGTTGATCTACAAATTTAATCCAATTTGATTAAAATTCCAGTTGGCTTTTTCTTTTTTTTTTCTTTTTTTTTTTTTTTTTTTTCGGAAATTGACATGCTGATCTTAAAATTCAAATAGAAATTTAAGAGACCTAGGGCTATGTGCAACTTTCTGAGATATGACATTGAAAGTATGATCCATAAAATTTAAAAAATCAATAAATTGGACTTTATCAAAACTATATTCTGTGACCCTATTAAAAAGAACAAAAAGACAAGCTACAAAGAGACAATGTTCTGAATATTTACCTGACAAGGGAATCATATCAAGAATATACAAATAATTCTGTAAATTCAGCAGTAAACTATCAATCCAAATAGAAAATAGACAAGAAAAATGACAGACATTTTGCCTAAAAGGAGATACAGATGGCAAGTAAGTAAATGAAAAGATGTTCAACATCATTAGCCATTAGAGAAATGCAAATTAAAGCCACTATGCGATATTACTATACATCTATTAGGATAGCTACAATTAAAAAAATGGTCACAATATCAAATGCTGGCAAGGATGCAAAGAAATGAGATCTCTTATACATTGCTGGTAAGAATGTAAATGGCGGCTGAGGGCAGTGGCTCACGCCTGTAATCTCAGCACTTTGGGAGGCCAAAGTGGGCAGATCACATGAGGTCAGCAGTTCGAGACCAGCCTTGCCAACATGGCAAAACCCCATTTCTACTAAAAAGACAAAAATTAGCTACGCATTGTGGCTCACACCTGTAGTCTCAGCCACTCGGGAGGCTGAGGCAGGAGAATCACTTGAGCCTGGGAGGTGGAGGGTGCAGTGAGCTAAGATCATGCCACTGTACTCCAGCCTGGATGACAAAGTGAGATTCTGACCTCCTCCTCCCCAAAAAAAGAATATAAATGGCATGGCCACTCTAGAAAACAGTTTGGCAGTTTCAAACAAACACAACTAAACATACCCTTTATGTCCACACAAAAACCGGTATGAAAATGTTCATGCCAACTTTATTTACAATAGTCAAAAATTGGAAACAATCCAAATGCTTTCAATGGTGAATGGCTAAACAAAGGTACATCTAAAGCACAGAATTCAACATAGCAATAAAAAGAGAACAGGGATGGGTCTGGTGGCTCATGCCTATAATCCCAGCACTTTGGTAGGCCAAGGTGGGCCGATCACTTGAGTCCAGGAGTTTGAGATCTATCTGGCCAACACAGTGAAACCCCATCTCTACTAAAAAATACAAAAAAATTAGCCAAGCGTGGTGGCACAAGCCTGTAATTTCAGCTACTTGGAAGGCTGAGGCAGGAGAATCGCATGAACCCAGGAGGCGGTAGTTGCAGTGAGCCGAGATCACACCACTGCACTACAGCCTGGACAATAGAGCAAGACTGTCTGAAAAAATTAAAAAAAGAACAAACTATTAATACATAAAACAACAAGGATGGATCACAAAAAAAAAAAAAATGCTGAGTGAAAACAACCAATACCAAATGGTTACATAATGTATTATTCCATTTATATAACATTCTTAAAATGACAAGCTTATAGAGATAAAGAATAGGTATTGGTTGCCTGGGGTTTTGGATGACAGGAAAGGGGTATCCCTATAAAGCAGTGGTGTAAAGAATCTGTGTGGTAATGAAACTGTTCTGTATCTTGATTATGGTGGTGGTGGTGAACATGAATCTACACCTACACATGTGATGAAATTGGATAGAACTATACACACACACAAACACACACAAATGAGTTCATGTAAAACTGGTTAAATCTAAATAAGATCTGTGAATTGTATCAATTTTGTATTTCCTGGTTTTATATTGCACTATATGTATGCAAGATATTACCACTGGGGAAAAACGGGGTGAAGGGTACACAGATTTCTCTTTACTGTTGGCCAGGCACAGTGGCTAATGCCTGTAATCCCAGGGTTTTGGGAGGCTGAGGCAGGCAGATCACCTGAGGTCAAGAGTTTGAGACCAGCTTGGCCAACATGGTGAGACACTGTCTCTACTAAAAACACAAAAATGAGCTAAGCATGGTGGCACATGCCTATAGTCCCAGTTAGCTACTTGGGAGGCTGAGCCAGGAGAATTGCTTGAACCCAGGAGATGGAGGTTGCAGTGAGCCAAGATGGTGCCACTGCCCTCCAGCCTGGGCAACAGAGCAAGACTCGGTCTAAAATAAAATAAAATAAAATTTATTAATACCACCACCAATTTCGTCAGAAAGACTAAATATTTAGGCAGTGGCTCACGCCTATAATCCCAGCACTTTGGGAGGCCAAGGCAGGTAGATCACTTGAGGCCAGGACTTCGAGACCACCCTGGCCAACATGGGGAAACATCATCTCTACTAG